CTTCTCCCTCCACTGGACATGCCGCAAGGAACGCTAGTTTCTATTTATCTGTGAAGTACAGGGCAAAACGAGTATGAAGCCAGCTAAAGAAATCTTTGGTTTCTTGCCCATGCTAACGGTTGTCACACATGTGTGGTCGGTATAGCCTCACCCACTCATCCATCAGCACATCATCTGCTGACGAATCATATTCGGCCTCTACCGCTCCAATAGACTTTGAGCCGCCGACTGCTTCTATGGTCAGAAGCTTTTCGATCTTTCAGACCACTGGTCAAGAAAATCAGATAGCTGATTCATCAAATGAATTTATCGGAAGCAGACAATAGTTGAGGGGACAGTTGCCGTTCCAGTGCGTCGATAGCCAGTAGATTAGCTGTCAAGACTACATTTAACCGCGCCACACGAACAACTGCAACGTTTCATATAAGCCTCTGTAGCGAGACACTTAACTCCAAACTCCATGCAGACTAAATAGATCGTTAGCGAGTGTTTTCACAGAAAAACCCGCCTTCCCGAATCCCTATGCCTCACCGTTTCAACAGTAGGGGAGTGGGTACAGTAAGGGTTAGTGCAACCTCACCCTCAAACAGTTCGAGCATTCACAACTAGTTGCACATATCATATGGCGCAGATGCACACAACATTGCGTGTGATTGTGGGGAGCTAACATTACTGTGCGAAAGGTAAGATATGCAAACAGCCAAAGCAATTGACTAATTATTAACTAATTGCGTGCAAAATAAAACCAGCTTTGGGGAAAGTGTTTAGGTGCGTCCAGCCCGCTACAACCACAAAATCTTCCAGTTGACAATGCGGTGCAGGTCTATCCTAGTAAGTCCTGACCAATCCTGTAGCAGATTTGTATGTTCACTTGACTACCATTTAAGTATTTCATAGCTGAGCGCTACATGGTGATAAATTTGAAGTTGAATGCTACTGCTGGTGGCTTAGCTTCTGCATGCGGGCCCCAGACCCCGAGCACTTGCAAGGACGGCATGCATTTGTGTGGCCTTATTGCATTTTCTAACAAAACTAAATGGGAGCATGTACTATTATGCATCAATACACTTTGTGATATTCTATTTCCTTGACTGCAGCAGTGAACTAGCTTAGCCATACTTTCTTTTAGGTGCCTGACTGCCACCTCGTTTTGTCTTGCTCGTGCTGCGGATTCACGTGAAAATTACCTTTGCATGTGTGACGGGGGCATTTCGCCTGTCTTGAATTTTGATGGGTGGCGGAGAACCTGAAGTTGGAAGTGTCAAACTCTCAACCGCAGATCAGGAACCTTCTTAGCCGTGCCCTGCACCTTCTCCCCTAACATGACCCAGACAGGGGGAAATACGAACTCCTTGGCGACGGACGAGCTGCGACAGCAGCTGCAGCGTCTGGAGAAGGAGAGGATGGCCCTCACCAACACCATTGCCGAGCTTCAGCAGGATTCTTCCGACCACCAGTAATTCAGAAGAGTCGTGCACCAATAAAAACCTGAAAGCTTCAGTTGCCTCTTGCATCCACTGCCCTTCACATTTTGGGGAAGCCACGACTGTTGCTTCCTTTTTTCGCAGATGTGTATCTACTTAATGCAGCAATGTAGTGAAAAAGGCACCAGCAGCAAGAGCGCTATGCAGCCGTGAGAGGTGGGGTTTAGGGTTTGCGCACAGGCTGGTCCTTGATGCATTCAAGGACCTGGAACCGTCTAGACGATGCTACCGTTTAGTCGGGGGCGTGCTGGTGGAGAGAAGCGTTGGGGAGGTGCAGCCTGCGCTTGAACAACACAAAGCCAAGGTATGCGTAGGCCTTGAAGTACATGCACTGCTGCAGCTCTGTGACCTAGATTCTAGACTCCAAATCATTGATTGGACAGTATCTTTTCTTCAATATGAAGCTTTGTTGCCGTCAGTTCGCTATGCCTCGCTCCTTGGTTTGCCTGTCAGTTCCCTCGGTACTAAACCCCGTCTGCAGGTGCCGCCTCTCTCCCGTATTTTCCTACCAGTCCTCTCCGCTTGTCACCCAGTCTCTGCGTGTAAATGTGTGTATGTATCTACCAGAGACCTCCGAATGTCAATTCTCTGTGTGCTTAACCACGTCTCAGCCTTCTGGTTGCTTGCTGTTCGCGTGCCTGTCTGTTGTTCGGACATAGCCCTCGGCCTCCTTCATCAGTCCTTTCTTGTCTTTGTTGTTGCCGTATGTCGGAATCTTATGCATGCACTTCGCCGCAATTCTTTATCCCCAGCCATCCTCCTAGTCTATCTCTGCGTGGCCTCGTTCGCCTCACCTATTGTGTCTGTCTGGATATGTTGGTCTCCCAGCTTTTGTGTGGCCGATTATGTACACATTTTGTCTTGCACTCTTTCGCTATGTCTCAAGCTGACGCCAGGGTGACCGTTGCTATTGCAGCAACAACAAGTTATCTTGTGTTTTCTTGGCCATTGTGCCCGCAGCAGCAGTAACCCGGCATTGCGTTTGCCTCATTTTGTATGCCTGTCTCAGGTAGCAGAGGCCCTCAAGACGCTGGAAGCCCAGCTGGCCAATGTACAGTCCCAATTGGCAGCGTCCAGCCAGGAATACGTGCGACGCACTGGCTCCTCTGACCTGCCCCACCTGCAACAGGAAGCAGCTGGCAAAGACACGAAGAAGAAAGAAGGGGGTGGTGTTCTGGTTTAGACATAGTCCTGCGGCTGGGGCTGCTGTTGTAGCGACTCGATAGGCTGCCATCGACGCTCCTAACTGCAGCACCAGCTAGTTCTGCAGTTAGGCATTTTGCTTCTGGGGCGTGCAATGCCGTACTGGGTAGCGATGGCTGCCACTATCACAGCAGCAACAACACGAGCACAGAGAGCTATTCATCCTTGGTGTGGAGCTGTCAAGAATCGAGAGGCCCCACAGGGTTAGCAGGCCTCCGAGTTCTCTGTAGCTAGATGCATTTACAGGCAACTTCTGCGTTGTCTCGTGATACTAGAACACTTGGTGCTTGTAGTTCAAGCATTTGGGGTTCAGGCGAATGTTCTGAGGATGATCCTTTTATAGGTGTTTTAAGATCAAAGGATCTGTGCCACCAAACGCCACTTAGGTGCGCGAGTTGTGTAGATGCGAATAGAATGGGCGCGTTCGTAAACGCATGTACCGATGCAAGTGTGCACAAGTGTGAGGGAGCTCGTAGGGTTACCTTTGCACCATTTTTGACGGCGCCACTACGGACCAGTTCTCTCCGCGGTTCAATCGAGAAGCTACGTCTCCCTTTGAAAGTGTCGTATTTCAGAGAAAGTGCTGGGTCTAATGACGCAGGTTGGACCTACAACGGGAGAAACTTAAAGTGGTCCAGTGATGCAAAGCGCTCTCCGCATCAGGCACGTCCATGCGCGCGCCCTTAGTGGATCCGAAATGTTGACGTGAGCCTTGTGTGAGACCCCTAGTATCCATTCTCAGATAGTCCATGGCGTGCTGTTCCATTATCGTGCAGCCAGGTCTCAGTATGTAGAGAGGTGACACAAGTTTTAGGAGCTACATCCTAGCTCCGTATGGATTACTAGCCAACTAAAGGTGTCTATCCTGAATGTTACCTGTTTCCAATGTAGGGCTTGCTGCAGACTTCGCAGGGCAGCATGCAGACACACCGACAGGAGTAGCTACCCTCCTTCGTAGTCGCATCACCGACAGCGGGCTTCCTAGTTGCAGCTCGTGCATTTACAGAAGGGAGGAAATTCCCAAGCACTTCACGCAAGCAGAACCTTCTGGGCAAAGCGTCTTAGAACACAACCAAACAGAGGGTCGCTGCAGGCCAGGCCCAACCCACGCACATGACAAGGATGATGACTTCAACACTTTTGCCCCAATAACCAAGAGAGCTAAGCAGAGCAATTCCGCACTTTGAGTGATTGCGTTTTGTGCTATTGTGGCGATGACTCGGCTTGTCTCCTGTAGAATGGCGGTCTTCCGGTATCCATGACTTGTACAATTTGTCTTCATGTTTATCTAGTTCGCTGACATCGGGTGAGCACGTTTTTCCAGCCGCCTAAGCAGAAGTACATTCTGTTTGCATCTAATCATCTCAAGTCTTCCTTCGCTTTGCCCTTCGTAAACGTTGGCCTCAAGCATGACGAGTGTGTCTGGTTCGTGTCTCGTGTTCTGAAACAACTCAGTGTGCCGTAGTGTTAGCAAAGAAGAGCTTCACTCAAGGTCGCTCTTTATCCTCAATGTTTTGCCTTGGAATCAGACATAAATTTCAGAAAAAGGTGTAAGGCTTCACCCTCGAGTTGCATCTTCTGTGTACACTGACGCATTGTCGATACAGCGATATCTTTTCAAGGGCACTGAGCAGATCTGCGGGGAAGCTGGCGGATATCGTTTTCGTCCGCTTCCTTGAAACGGATGGTTAGGCACTGTAGGAAGAAGTGAACAATGTGGCTCACATGGCTGCACACTAGAAGCAGTTAAATCCAAGGGCAAGGCACAAGGGAACTAGAACGAGTGACTCGGAAGCTCTCACATGCTGAAAGAGTTGCTTTAGGAAATGACGCCATACTAACCAATATACAAGTCATACATACCATGATTATAGGCCGAGAACGTGAAGAGAGATCAATACGCTCCACATACATCTAGTGTCGAGCGCTGTATGGGCCTACATGGCGCGCATGCAATCAATATCCATATTAAAAGGAAACAAACAGGCATACCAACCGAACGATTGGCTCCATGGACATCCTTGGCACACTGATGGCTGAAGTGAATCTCATCCCAGCGCACACTATTCTAGACTCAAGAATAGAATACTGACGTTGCCCACCACGCAGGGCCTGCTTAGTTTTTGAAAATTTGTTGCGTAGGGCACCTCCTACAGTGTCCTTATGGAGATCATGGGACGCGCAGCGAATTCACGCCAAAAGAGATACTGTTGAGCCCCATAAAAAAGACTCGTCCTTTTTCCTCGCCCTCATTCCAGATTCTCTTGATCTGTGGAGAAAAAGCAAGATGAGTGCAAGTAGGTGCATCCTACGAATACTCTGGTTATTGCATCCAGGCAGTATCAGTAGCTTAGCCCGCAAGGGTGCCGTAGCGAACCGCGCTAAGCATAGACACTTTGCTTCATAGTGGTTATATTTGTGTATTATTCAGTAAATCCTGAATATTTAGGTTGCCTGTGAGTATATCATGCCTATTTAGGAGTGGTGTTGGCTGTAAAAATCTATCTGAGGACTCAGTAGGGAGGCACTTGAATCCACACTCGATACAAAATCGATAGAAAGTTAGTAGATGCTTTTCCAAAAAGGGTCTTGCATCCCCTGCCAGCGCCTCACTTAGTCGGACATTTGGGAGGAGGGGCAGCCAAGGTACGAGCTAATTTATCTTTCAAGCTTTCTAAGCATTACCCCTTGCTGCCAATAGCATCTAGGGCGCATGCAAAAACATTGCTATTGCATCGAGCAAATGCTACTCGGCAAGAATAAGGGATAAGACCGTAAACACCAAGTAGTCACTTCCTTCCTACTTCTTAGTTCAATATAAATGGTGTAGAAGGAAGTTGGAAGTTGTATCTCAGCCCGCTACACCTTCCGGTCTCCCATCATTTTGGAAGCAGACGGCCTCCTGTCCCGTACCTGTATGTCGGCAGCAACTTCGAACAGGACAGCGAAGATGTTCACACCCTATGACCACTTACCAGCCCGGCCGACACACCAGAATACTGCAAACGAGAAAGCGAAAGTGTGCAAAAACTGGTAGAGATAAATGGAAGGGAAGTAAGGCACATGCACTAGCCAAAACAAACTAGGCACTGGGATAAGGGAACAGCAGCGTTGCGACGGCTCGCTGTCGTCAGAGCGCTGAAATGCGTGAGCCTCCTGTTAGGAGAAAGTAGAAGACAAGTAAAATGCGTAGCGGAAATCAGAGCATACCCTAGGTCATCGGTGTTCCGCCCGTGCATGTGGCACAGTAGACTCGAAATTCCGATAAGATGCATAGGCTTGAACGTCTAGATAACATAACTGGGAATGCCGACGCACTCTCCGGTCATATTTGTGTCTGACTGTCAAGATCACCTACAGAAAAATAACCGACAACCTAAGAAGCGATTCCTCAAAATAAAGAAAGCAATATTAGGCAGGGAATATGCGTCTCGGAAGGACAGCTACCCAGAAATTCCTGGAATACAGCCCACAGCGACCAGTGTCATCAATTAAATCAGAGCCACAGTATGTACTGCACGCAAACACTCAACTGCTCCTCCATCAACTAATGAGATTGACGTTCCCGACCCCCTTTTGCTAGAATGTTCTTGTCTAGCCTATCCTGAATGTTCAATAACCCGAGTATTCATCTCCCCTTTGGCTTCCTGTGGACCCTTCGCCTTCAAGCGCGTCACTTGCCAGCGCGGTAAAGTCCACGACTAATTTTGGAAGATTTCAAACTACTTTAGCAAACCAATATTACTGGTTCTATTACGCTCCAAACTTTTAAGTGGATCAACAGAGTAACAAATGGCATTGATTTCTCAGAAAACACCGCATTGTTCTGGTCCCGTGACTGCAAACGCCTTCGATCACCTGATATACTTCATGATGCCTGCTGAACCACCAAAACCAAATCTTCAGGTTTAGAGCCCACAACAAACTGTAGCCTATCATAATTACGGGCGTGGTTTTCGAGCTCTGAGCACATATTCAATCGCGCCAGCAAGCTTTCTTTCGAATTTATCTGCCGCAAAAGGCGGCTACTGATCTTGGACCAACATGGCACCCCAGAGTAAACAAGATATGGGTGGGGGCAACGGGTAGACGATTCTACTATTGTATTAATAAAACAAATCATTGAATGAAAGAGCATTTTGTCAACCAATTGAGTTTTGTGAGCAGAGATTCGCATATACTGCAGAAGGGTGCGGTTGGTGCTTTGTGTCAATCTGCCTACGGTGGTTCGCAGTAGTCATTCTATGGCTAGTGTGTGGGGGATCATAAGGGCACTTCAGGACAGACTGATGACCTCCGAAACCAGTCCGTGATGATAACCCTGAAACGTTTTCTGGAGCATTGACTCATGAATTGTGACGAACTCAGTGACTTCGTGCGCCATGGCACAACTGGCTCTACGGATGAAATCACATATACACTGAGTCTCTCTAGAACCACGTAAAAGCAGTACAGGCCTTTCATTTCAAGCACTTCAACAACAATGTCTATCGTTGGATATGTTCAACTATTTCAGTAGTAGGATGGTATTGCGAAAGGTGGGTTCACGAACTGCGGGGCTTTACCTGCTGGCTATCGGGTTAGAACAATCCATAGTTCTCTGTCGAATAACACATCCCAGGCTCCCAGAAAGACCGCGTGACACTTCGCTCTTTGATATAAGTCCTTTCGTGGCCCAAAAGTACACTATCATGTACTTTGCACAGCACGACACTGCAGAAAAATGTCGGAATGCGCAAGCAGA